GCTATAGAATATCTTTAGACCCAAGAAATACATACTTGCTTACTCTGGATCCTTGCCATATAAACCCTAATTTTTAAAAATCTCGACTTCATCTCATCTCCCAGTGAGACTTCATGGCTATATCAGTGTAGTTTTCTTCACAGCAATATAGAAGTATGTTGCTGTTTCATTCCAAGATTTTTTCAGCCATGTGGGATTTCCTAGTTTCCCATCCAAGTACTATTCAGGAGCAACCCAGTTTAGCTCTCTCTCTTTTTTTTTTTAAGAATTGGCCAAGGCAGGCTCAGTGCTGCCAGCTGCTGCACCATAAGCCATAAAAGCTGTAAAACTCTTGACTATACTGGAGAAGATGCCATTTCAGGCAAGATGAAATCAATCCAATTCACTCCTTAATGGGAAACAACCCTATGGCCAACTTAATTGCTTGTAACTATATCATAATTAATTCTTGCCTTTCCTGATGTTCCTGTAAGCTTTATTCCAAAGGTGTAATCATATGAAGTATAACATTTCTTTACGGTCAAAAATCAGCTATCATTTTCACAGGAAACTTTAAGGAGGATAATCAAAAGGAAGAAAGGGATGAGCGGTGACAAATTTGAAATATAAATAAATAAAATAACCATCTTAGGTAAACTAACTTAATATTAACTAAAAACAAAGAGAGAGAAAGAGTGAAAAGGAAAATAAAACTATAACCCTAACCCCCAACCAATGGCTATGTAACAGAACTTAATAACCCTTCTAAGATTTCTGGAGCTAGGTCAGCTAGTGGTGAGATCTGCACAGGGCCATTTCTTGGCGGCTGCAACTCTGGTCAAAGTCCCATCCCTTTGCAACACAACCACCATCTTGATATTTTTGACTCTCCCTGCAGACCCCCCTGGATCTATACACACATACAGAGGTATGTAGCAGATGTATAAACAGTGAGAATAGAGAGAATGGTTTCACCACAAACAAACATAGTTGCTCAATGAATTAAAAATAAGGAAAGGAACAATTCTGAATAATCAAAATTGTCAGTAAAATAGTTTGGCGTTGCTTAGCATGCTATATTTTCTTGATTTACCTATTCATGGTTTTGTTTTCTTCAAGTATAATTTAGGTTAGTAAGATTATATGTACAGTTCATACATGAATGAAAGTTCAGAATGTTCAAAATTTTCTGCCTGACTTTTGACAGGTCATGTCACGTTAATATTTGGGAATTATTAGGATCGGTGTGGTATTTTATGCTGATATCCATGTGCAAAGAGTGAGGACCTTACAATCTCAGAAACAGCAGGAAGGGGAGGGAAGTCCACATAGTGACAACCAATAATTAAATGAGTTATTTCAGTTGCATGTACTTAGATTTACATATAAATTTAGTATTCAACCCAGGGAACTAGAAGGTGGAGCCAAAACATAGTGGAAAAAGCAAGGGTTGAAAAGGGATTTGAATCAATGTGATTGTTGTACCTGGAACCTATATAGGTTTTGAATCTCTAACTTCATATTTAAAGATGTGTGGATACTTACCAGCAAAATCTAGTTGTTGCTACAGACACAAAGCAGGGACAGGTTTACCACCTGTAGGTTGTGGTCTCATTTTATACTCCCAAATTGCATCAACAAAATGTGATGAATTAATGCCACTTTTTGCCCATGTAATTTTTATTGGGGCAGGAAAAATGTATTTTATTTCTATACAAATGTCAGGTTTCAAGGTTGTTTCTTCGCCAGAAGTTCTCCACCCCTCATTGCAAACTGCTTTTGTAATTGGAATCTGCTGTTTAAATTAAAATGCTCTTTAGAACCCAGTTAAGCAAAAGCTGAAGCTCTTTATTCATTAATTAATTTATTACTTTAAAAAAAAAATTAGCCTCCTTTTCACTGTTCAGCAGAAACCCTAAAGCAGGGGATCTGCTTTAAGGTTAGAATTTACTCATATGGCACTCACCAGATGTGCCAGATGTATTTATTTTACTGGGCTTATCACTCTCTCCAGTCTTTCAAGTTTTCAGTCCCTCAAGTTTTGCTTTTCTTGTTTAATTCTTAATTTATTACTGGATAATACCGTCTAAAAAGGTGGAGAGTAATGCTACATAATTAGTAGAGGGGTCTGCAGGAGAGGGCTGTAGGGGGATAAATGGCAGCCTTGTATGACTGCAATGCAAGTCCCACCCCTTTATCATGTGTGTCATGACAACCTGTGTCCCTATAGAAGAGGCAGAACTTGCATCATGACCTAAGATGCCATTTGCATCCTTTTGACAAAAGTTTTGGAGTCTGCGGACACCTCTGATAAATAGGGATCAATCCCCCATTTTAGTCCTGCTTAGAGTAGAACTATAAAAATCCATGAGGCAAGTTAGTAATGCCTACCATAATCCATGTAGAATTAAATAAATCTAGTCTGTGTTATACTAAGTCTGAATTTGACCCGACTGATTGGATTTTGAATACCAGTGAATTACTGTTTCTTTCATTTTAAGGCGCAGGATGTCTGACACTAGCCTATTAGTTGCAAGAGTTTCTATAGATTGCATTCATTTACCTTTATTTCTTTTTGCAAATGATTGTGATGACTTAGTGTTGAATGCTAAGCTTGAAGATAATCCTGAAATCTATTGCTTAGATAGTTCAGGACTGATATTTTCATGGAGCAATTAATGTGTGTGTGACATTAACACAACTCATCCCAAAAAGTATTTTGTGGCAGACTTTCTGGAAATCATAGAATGTATTGCTTTTGACTGTATTTTTATAAAAGGTGGTGATTTTCATATGATGCCCTTTAATTTAACCTGATTTGTGGATGTGTGATTGCGGTCCATACCCATTCGACAATGAGCGGTTTCACTGTGCAGCCCTAGAGACAACTACTGATATGTTAACATCTAGAGTTTCTTTTTAGGAGACTGAAAATAATTTAGTCAGTTAAGGAGTATTCTTAAATTCAAAACAAGTTCATCCAAACAGATACCTGGCCCCAAAATTATCATGTCATTGTGCATAGTTTAGCTGTAATTTTTATTTTTTAGAAATTTTGAAAGAGAATATTTGCAAAATTGTAAATGGCAACATTCAGATGCAAAACTCCCACTTAGTAGCATATTGTAGATATTTGGGGCAAATTAAATTTCACTCTGCTGAATTCCATTCATATTATTTCTATTCTAAGCAATAATTATGTAGGATCTGGAAACTGCTTTTCATTATGACAGGCCCTGGATTGTGATTGTGTCCTGGATAAATTGTACACAACCCTGCAGTATTCCTTTCATTATAATATGGGGCATTGAGTATGAGATATTTTCAACTGTACTTTGAAGTCCACAATGTTTTATCTTTCCCTATTGAATGGGAAGCAAATTAATTACATATAAAACGTTCTGAATTCAAATAGTTTTGAATTTAAAATGCCCTGTTTTGTCAACTGGTCCAATCATTTGGGGAGTGTTTCAAGCTTGAAATGGTTCCGTTTTGAGGTAAAACACTTCCAAAATGATCAAAACAGCCCATACTGAATATGAAATAATTTCAAACTCAAATAGAGTGTTTCTATCTCAAAACAGTTTGAATTTGAAGTGTATTCCCCCTCCTTAGTAGCAATCATTCACATGCATTGAGGAAACAAACAAAAAATTATTTGAGTACATCTGTTAAATGGGAATTGAATATGCTCTCTCTACTTAAGATTATCACATATTCATTATCCATATATTTGGAGATGAATCTTTATACCAATCTTCCTCTATTGAGATATACTTTAGAAAATTAAGAATTTATTTATTTATTTATTTATTTATTCAACTCATATGGCCACCTATATTATATACAATAGCCCTGGGTGGCTTACAACAGTAAGCAATAAGAACATAAAAAAGTAAAACAGTATTCCACACTGTACAAAAAAATCAGGCTTCCCACCATGGCACCATAACTTCATGGTGAAGTTATGGTGCCATGGTGGGAAGCCTGATTTTTCCACATTTGCTGGGCTCAACCCCCATCCTGATCCAATGGCAGGTCTTCACAGCTTTCTGGAAAGCTAAGAGGGTAGATCTCAGAGGAGAGGCTGTTGCATAGGGCAGAGGGCCACTACGGAGAAGACACTTCTCTTAGGTCCCACTAGATGACAACATTTAAGAGAAGGGAGCTAGGAAGTATGTCCTCTAGGGATTCCTGCTGATAATCATAGTTACGGGATTTTCTGCTGAGATGGCCTATCTCGCTGTCTCTGCCCCTCATTCACCAGAAACTTGATCAAAGCTTGCAATTTCAAGAGAACTCTAAAGTCTCTATCATTATGGGGTGGTTCAAAGCTTAAACCATCCATTTTGCCCTATAACTATCCTCATGCAGTTAAAAAAAAAATCTGAAATATGTTGAAACTATGCAACTGCAATTTTTGCATTTTTTAAATGCACTGTTATGCAGCCAAAGTTTCTTAAGAGCACAGCAGAAAATATAACACTTTCACAGGCTGATCCTTTCCGAGTTTCAGTGGTGTGAGGAAAAAAACCCTCCAACCAGTTTGCTTTTAGCCTGCTTCTCGTCTCATAAAAAGAAAAAAGGAAATCACAAATTAGAGATTTTAAAAATATAGCCATTCTTTTTAATGTTCAATATGCAGAGGTGAACGGAGGAACTTATGTGAAATACTTGTTTCATAGGATGATCCCCCAATTATTACATCATGGTGCTCTCTTGTTGATTTGCTGTCCAGATTTGATTATGATTAGTATGAAAACGAGTCTCCAAAACCATTTCTCCAAATGTAATTCATCATTCCCACTTCAGGTGTCACTGTATGTTTGAGTGTACAGATTTTTCTGCATTGATCTCATGCCTTGGGAAGGCAGATTTTAACTCTACGGAAACAGGGCAGTTTTGATGCCATGCTGAACATGCGGTAGACAAAAATTGATATAGCTTATGAAAATATTTATTTTGCAGAGCTCCTTTTGTACGTTAAATGCACAGCAGTGACTTTTCTCTCTGTTATACAGAGGAGCCCATATACTGTTACACACCACACAACTTCACCCGGGATCAAGCCTTGTATGCCAGAGGATACTGTTGGACAGAGCTAAGAGATGCATTGCCAGGTGTAAATGCGAGCCACTGGCCTTCCTTGTTTGAGCATAAATTCCTTCCATACGCCTTGTTGGCGTTTGCTGGCATTATGTACATTCCAGCCCTTGGATGGGAATTTCTGGCTTCCACCAGACTGACTTCTGAACTTAACTTTTTGCTCCAGGAGATAGATAACTGCTATCACCGAGCAGCTGAAGGCCGCGCACCAAAAATCGAAAAACAAATCCAATCTAAAGGTCCCGGGATAACAGAACGTGAGAGAAGAGAAATCATTGAGAATGCGGAAAAGGAAAAGAGCCCAGAGCAAAACCTGTTTGAGAAATATCTGGAACGCAGAGGGCGTAGCAATTTCCTAGCCAAACTTTACCTGGCAAGGCACCTCTTTATCATATTTTTAAGCATCATTCCCATCACGTACTTGTCCACCTATTATGCCACACAGAAACAAAATGAATTTACGTGTGCCCTAGGAGAACCTCCTGACAAAACAAGCAATTCCAAATTGCTCATTCGGGTGAATTGCAAGCTACCCTCTGTGCAGCTGCAACGCATAATTGCCGGAGTGGACATTGTCCTCCTTTGTTTCATGAACTTGATCATTCTCATCAATCTAATTCACCTTTTCATATTCCGCAAGTCCAATTTCATATTTGACAAGCTGAACAAGGTTGGAATAAAGACCAAGAAACAGTGGCAGAAATCTCAGTTCTGCGATATTAATATCCTGGCTATGTTTTGCAATGAAAATCGCGACCACATCAAGTCTCTGAACCGCTTGGATTTCATTACCAACGAAAGCGATCTGATGTATGACAACGTTGTGCGTCAGTTGCTGGCAGCTCTAGCCCAGTCTAATCATGATGTTACCCCCACTGTGCGTGATTCTGGAATACAAACAATAGACCCCAGCATTAACCCTACAGACATTGACCCTAATGAGCCACTGATCATCAAGCGTCCTCGGAAGAAAATGAAGTGGATCCCGAGTAGCAATCCCCTTCCCCAGCCATTCAAGGAGCAACTAGCTATTATGAAGGTGGAGAACAACAAACCTGAGAAGCCAAAACCAGTGCGTCGGAAGACAGCAACTGATAGTCTGATTGCACCTTTGCTCGAGACCAACTCAAAAAATTCCCAACCATCCTCAGTTCACAAAACTGAATCTAGTACTCTGTCCAACGCAGGTAATGAAAAGAAGCATACACGTCATTTTTCCTTAGATGTCCATCCATATATACTGAGTAATAAGAAACCCAAGCAAGAAATTCCACCCATTACTTCTATGGCAACATCCAAAAGCCAAGAGAGTGGATTTTTAAACCGGGAAGAGAAAGCCATAGTCCGCGTCACTTCTTCTCTCAAAGGTATAGAGATGTTTTTATCTACTTTTTCCATTACAGTTGCAGCTTACAAAATTGCTCCTTATTTTGGAATGTTTATGGTGTGGTTGGGTTGACTGGGATTCCTCGTTTCATACTGTTGATATCTTGCATGATAGCTGTAACCTCTGCTGGAAATCATGCATCAGGCAGAGAGAGCGCTGGAAAATAAGACAGCTACAAACTGAAATATTGACTACATAGTATGGCAGCCACATTACAAATGGGATGTTTGCTAACCTGAAACTTGTCAACAAGAGCTTTGTAGAGCCCATTGTTAGTTGAGGATCATCTTCTTAAGCTTAGAATGTGTGAGCCATTTGTGAGCCTGTAATTTTTATAAGTATATTTAAAACTTCTCTAGCATTTAAAACTTACCTAGCATATATATTTGGCCTTGTGACCCTTAATCAGCGACTCAGTTTTGATTTCATTTTTTTCTCATAAAATCTTTCTCATGAAATCTGAACTTCTTGGGAAGTTTCCTGCAGTTTGAAATACATGGACCTCAGAATTGGAACAAAATCACAATAAATGCAGGATATTAGCAGGGACTATAGGGAAGATACTGAGAAGAATATCATAGGAACACGGGGCAAAGAAGAAATTTCACCTCTGGATTCTATTGATCTAGTTTTCAAATGGCTTAAATTATCATTGCTTGTGATAATTCAGATTTTACTTGTCATAGAAGTGTCAAGGTATTTGGAATAATCATTGAAATCCTACCTCTATAGGATTTCAGAAAATGCCCACACTCAAATATTTGCCAGTGTCACTATGTTGAATACCTAGATGAAGTTTGACAGTAATCTATGGCTTCTCTTAAACTTCTGAGGAGAGTGCATAGTTAAAGCAATTTAACTCTGTAATAGAAATATAATTTTGAAGCTTCCCTGAAGATTTTGTGCCAAATCAGAGACTTTTAAGTAACCTCATTAGCTTCAGTGAGACTACTTGGGCAAGTAATCTACGCTGTCTTCTTTTCTTAAAGCTTGTTTTTTGATTTACTTTTATTAGTTTACTTTTATTAATCATGCTACATCATCTTTCTTAACAGTTTGGCTGTGACCGTTTCATATTATTGGTTATGAAATCACAAATTTTCATTTATTTAAATACTTACTGTTCTGTGTATTTTTTTAAAACACTGTAGTCCAGCATTCACAGGTTCCTTACTACTTCTTTTAAAAAGAAAAAAGGTTATGAAATCACAAATTTTCATTTATTTAAATACTTACTGTTCTGTGTATTTTTTTAAAACACTGTAGTCCAGCATTCACAGGTTCCTTACTACTTCTTTTAAAAAGAAAAAAGGAAAAAAAAAAACCAGCAAAACCATGCAGTATTTTCCAAAGAATTGTGAGTCACTCTACAATCTTTAACACAATTATCCAAATGAAAGTGAATTAGTTTTCCTGAAGAGCCATCTATTGCTGTTAAAAAGCCTGGAATAACCTGTACAATAAGCTGTACCTAAAAATAGTAATGAAAAGAAGGAGTGTCACCATTTGGGAGCCGTCATACTAAAGGATTTTTCAGGAGCTACCCATTTCAGATAATTGAGGCCTATGATGAAGTCCTTAATTGACAAACATGTTCATGGGGGTATAATAGCTTTATCTTATTTTGGCATTCTTTCTCCAGAGATCTTGGAGAATTCTGCACATTTATTTTCTGTGGGATATCTTAGTCAGTACTTTGATGATGAAACAGTATCCTCCAAACAGCTTTCTAGATTTTTCTGTCTTCCTTTGTGCTACCTATTCAGCATCTGAATAGGTTTCCCACATTCACTTCTTAATTAAACGTTTATTTCCATCCTTCCAGCATTATCTAAGAGTGCTCAGATCAAGACAGCCATGATTACCACACAACCACAATTATGGAGATCATTTTCTTGCAGTGGAGAACAAATCAGCTAGTGTCTTTGTTTTGCCTCCCTGTTCTTTCAATTGTCAGCTGGCTTTCCATGGTCTTTCCTCTCCTCTTCCCCAATGCAATTAAAAATAGCCAATACTAGAAAGAACACAGAGGGAAGATGAAGTAGAGCTTATGTGTCCTCCTACCCCAAAAAAGTGAAATAAGGATCAGTGAGCATTGATAGACAAAGATAGGAAGGAAGCTTTCTAACACTGAGATGGTAGCCACTCGTGGACATTACAGAGAGCTAGACTCTTTAAGAGATTACTGTGTCACATAGCCAGTGAGCCATATGGAAAGATATAACATCCTACAAGTTAGCCAGCAATGACAAAAGTCTATGATCAATGAAAATGCTGCGGGCTTTCACAAAAATGAATCCATGAAATCTACTCTAGCTCATCCCATGACTATGAGAAAGGAACAAACTCATTCATGAGGGCCAGTGAAGATCTGGTAGGACTTGTATGAGAGACAAGTTGGATGATGTGATCATAAATATGTCTTTGCATTAATTATGCAGGGGGGTTGTAATTGTAATGAAACTGAGATTTCAGCAAATGTTCTGGGGAACTGTAATCCCCCAGAGGACCTAAAGAGAATCTCTTTTCTGAAGCTGGTATTTGAGATGTCTGTGTGTGTGTAAATGATCCTTCACTGATGTCCATGGAAATTTCTTCCCAATGCAAATACCAGCCTTAGATGAAGGATTTTCTTTAGAGATCCCTTTCTCCTTCCCATCTGCCATGATCCTGATGAAGACCATGAAAAAAGCCCTGCAGGATCAGTCCAAGGCCCATCTTAGTCCTCACATTGGGCATTCAGATCTTTCTGGGGTCCTCTCAAGCAGGAGGGGGAGACATAGCCCTTTCCTGGCATTATTCCCTCACACCTGCTATTTAACAACATGGAGCACCAGCCTCAAGGTTACAGTGTATCTTCAAGACTTGTAGTCCATAACAGACCCAAATACCATGAATTTATTCAACCACCTTTTAAAGCTATCCAAGTTAATGACCATAATCATGTCTAGTGGTAATGAATTACACAGATTCATTATGGCTGGGCTGGTGCAGACATGCTTTCTTTTGTCTGTTCTACATTTCCTTCCAATCAGTGTCACTAGGTGGCCACTGACTTTATTTTAATAGGAGAAAAACTTCTCTCTATCCATTTTCTCCATGGCAAGAATGATTTTAGACATCTTAATCATATCTTCCCTCAATCACCATTTTTCCAAGCTAAAGAGTCCCAAACACCCTATTTTTTTCTCATTTTGAAAGTGTTGAGACCTATTATAATGTTGGTTGTCCTTTTTTTTCTTTTCTGGCTTTGTTTTCATTTCCAAGCCCAGGGACCCAACTGTACACAGTATTCCAAGTGCGAACATACCATGTATATGTATAAGGGATTACAATACTGTAATTTTTATTTTCAATCCTTTTTCTGATGATCTCTAACCTGCCCTTTGCCTTTTTTTGCAGCTATTGCACATGGAATCAACTTTATAGATATATCCACTATGACCCCAATTCTTTTTCAAGTTTAGTTCAGACAAGTTAGATGACATCAGTGTATAGTTGAAATGTGCACCACTTATAAAGCATCATTTTACACTTGCTTCAATTGACCTTATGTGATGGACTGGAATGGAGGAAGGGGGGTGAAAACGGTGCTCTCGTCTCCAGAGCGTTGCTCTGGAGACAAGAGCACCGTTTTCACCCCCCTTCCTCCATTCCAGTCCATCACACCTTATTTGCCATTCAATCGACCATTTGCCCTGCCTATTTAAAGAGATCCTTCTGAAGCTTTTCAAAATCACTTTTGGTTTTTATCATCCTGAATAGTACAATATACAAAGTAGGGAGCTGAACCAAGAGCAGGTGGTTCTGAGCAGAAATACCTGTTGTGTCAACAACACAACTGCTGAGCTTCAAGGCCATGAAGCTCAGGGCAAGGAGTCCATTAAGAAGCAAACAGGTTTAAACTGTTTGGGGTATAAGAGTGGGACTGCACCCACCCTCATGCTAATTGAGAGTATTTAACTCATCAATACAGCTTCATTCTGGCTTGCAATAAAGATACTTACTCATGCCATGCATCTGAAAATCCAAATATTCACTGTTAACAAGATCACCTCCATCTATGAGCATCTTTATATTCTCAAAAATTGTGAAAAGTTTGGAGAGGCCTTCAGATTTTCTTTCCACAAGGCTTGTTCCTTTATGTGTATGTGTGTGTGTGCGTCTGTGTGTGTGTGTGTGTGTGTATTTATATATATATATATATATATATAT